CCAGTTGGCATATGTGCATACTGTGCGTATTGCCTCGATATATTTTTAATTCACAAGTATTATAAGCAAAGATGGATGATGGTGATTAGCAAAGGAATCCAGGACACGCGTTTCGTCCTATTTTGGACTGGTCAGTTGGATTTACCTGCATCTTAGAGTTGATGTTCACTCTGGGACTCCAACCCAGTATCTTTCGCTTCTAACGCCATCACGTTATTCACTCAGCTACTGAGGACGAAATGTGCTTCCTGGATTCCACTGCTAGCCACTATCCATCTTTACTTATCATACATTGATTACTTCAATTAATCCTTTATACTCTGTGTGATTCTTCAAGTTCACAATTTTTTTTCAATTTTTTTTCTTCTATTCTCTTCAACATGATCTATAGCTTTTTGCTGCCAAGTTTTTCACTTTTAATCACTATAATATACTACTTATATTTGTCAACATAAGTAGTTTACATCACAGTCTCATAATGACAATTGATTAGTAATAAATACACAACATAATATTTGTCAATTCATTTTAATTAAATAATTAATCAACAATGGAATTTCTATGGGTATTTCTTTAATAAGATTTTTTTTAAAAATCGGCTCCGAAACAACATTCCTTGTTGCTGTGGTTGTTGTTGCTGTCAATGAATGAATTTTTTAGGGGTTTTTTTGTAAAACAAAACTTTAAGTGAATAACGATTGAATTTTTACTGATTTATTGATTTTTTTTAAAGATCATTGATTATTTATTGATCGATCGATTGATTGATTAATTTATCAAAAGGGGGTTTTAATGTGCATAGGTAGTTAGTTACATGTAAACATGTATGATATGGTTTACAGTATGGTTTATTGTTTAAGAAAAAGGAATGTAATGGGTAGATTAAAGATGTAAACATAAGACTGAAAGTGTTAACAAGAAACAAAAGTCGGTATATTGTCAAAATACTCGATTAAAAGTGATTTTTTGACAATGTTTCCCCCTATAAATCTATGTCATTGTAGTCAGTCAGCTACAATGTAGGACCACGGACATATATGTATCGGTACAAGTTGCCATACTTTATTAACACAATAAGATGAACACCAAATTCATGGAATTAGTTAATTTAGTGGTGGTAATATATAAAAGAACAGGAAGAAAGACAGATATGAAGTAATTTTAATCTCAATGTTTAAGGGGAGAAAAAGAGTGTATACACCTGAGCCAATGTAATCTATTCTGAGCATTGTCACATGGATTCTCCAATCATTGGTTACGATAGTCGTGCGGACCCCAACCAGGTAGTCTGCATCTACCAACATGTCAATGCAATATTCAGGATATGAAAACTAGACAAATTATATAACATTGAGTGGTGAGAAGCAAAAAATTGTGTAGAGATATGTATCTGATTTATTATGATTATAAGCATCTCTTGAAAGCTAGTGTTGATGTGGAACAATCCATTAGCTTTGCATGATTTCTTGCACATTATTATCAAATACCTAGAGTGATTATTAACGATGTTATATATAAGGAAGAAAGATTATTATACACTGATGATTTCTGCGTAGGATGAATCAAAATGAAGGGTATTATAGACATAGTTTATCGATAATGTAAGGATGGCTCATTGGCGAAATCAAGGAAGCCTTAAAACACCCGGAAAAAACCGAAGATATTCAATCCGATCGCCGCTAGGGAAGCGTTCTAAAATATCAAAGTGTAGCTTCCCTATTGGATGAAGAAGAAGGACATTCTATGTACCTATAGGTTGTCCGAAATGATGACTTACTTTCAGCCAAAAAACTATAAATACATGAGATTTTTGTACTATATTTGATACTGTTTGGGGAATAACATTCCTGCTTACTAGTCTTCTGTCTTCTGATTTTGTGACTTGGAAGGGTTTTAGCATTCGAGTGATCAAGTTTTACGTGACATAATAAGAATTTCATTTCAAGATATAACAGATTATATTATCAGTCAGGTTAATAGAAGAGTATAGATAATCAACTCAAACGGTAACATTTAGAATTTAGCAAATCCATTTTGTTTCCTTATTTCTGTTATCTCAACCTACAGATTGTCATGGGATTTGAATCATTTTATCATCCTTTTATTTCTGTTTCAGAGTTCAAAAGTCTTAGATCGAAATCAATGAATTCCTTTAAACTTTTATATTGAATGATATGACTGATATATGAGTGAAGTGTGTGGTAATTGTGAAATGAAATAGCATATGTTATAAGGACAAGAATGAAAACTGAAACTCTTTATTTAATAAACTTCTAAAGGTATTATAGCTGGGACAACATTTTTTTGGTAATCAGAAAATAGTTTTTATTTATTACAGGATTTACTTACTTACTTGCGCCTGTTACCTCACGTCGTGGAGGAGTATAGACCGCGCACCAGCATTCTCCATCCAATACTGTCCTGACCAATCCTTTCCAGTTATTTCCAGTTAAAATTCATCCTTTTCATATCTGCTCCTATTTTCCGACGTAATGTGTTCTTTGGTCTTCCTCTTTTCCGCTTCCCTTCAGGAGTCCGAATTAGGACTTGCCTCTTTATGCAGTTTGATGATTTCCTTCATGTATATCTGATTCCTTTTCAACATCTTTTCTTAATTTCCCCTGCAGTTGGTCCTCTCCCATAAAACATTAATGCTGTTAGTATCCGGCCAGTGAATGTTGAGTATTTTGTGCAAACAATTGTTTATAAATACTTGTATCTTCTTGACAATGAATGTAATAGTTCACCACGTTTCAGCTCCATACAATAAGACTGTCTTGATGTTCGTATTGAAGATTCTCACTTTGAAATTAGTTGACAGTTGTTTTGAGTTCCATATGTTCCATATGTTGCTGTCCTTGATTTGCTAATCCTCGCCTTTACACCTGAATCACATCCTCCTTGTTTATCAATGATGCTTCCCAGGCACGTGAAAGATTCCACATCTTCCAGAGTTTGCGCCATCAAGTGTGATTAGGTTGGTGTTCTCCGTGTTGTATTTGAGAATCTTTCATTTTTTGTGTGTGTGTTGAGGCTTATTGATGCAGAGGCTGCTGCTACATTAGTTTTCTTCGTCCATATTTGTTCGTGTGCATGAGATAGGACGGCAAGGTCATCTGCAAAGTCGGAATCGCCTAATTAATTCTGAAATGTCCATTGTATTCCGTGCATCCCCTCAGGTGTCGAGGTTTTCATAATCCAGTCAATCGCCAGAGGAAAGAAGAAGTGGTAGAGTAGACAGACTTGTCTGACTCCCGTCCTTACTACTATGTATTATTGATAATGAATGGTGTTAAATATGATTAATTTGAGGTTATTGTATACTGAAGCCAATTTCCTTATCCGAATTGACCTATAAACTATGGATACTCATCGCCAATAAATAACTTCTCTACTTTATATAGTTGAAATCATGAGTCAATTGAAGTTAGATCACCATGGAAAATCTGGAAGCATTGGACGGCCGTTTCGTGCTTCCAGACTTTCCATGGTGGTCTAGCTTCAATTAACTCATGATTTCAACTATATAGAACTACTAAAATCTCCACAAAACCCCATTCTCTACTTTGTATTAAAGAAATTTTAACCCATTACTTATAATTATTGCAAAACATGCATTCATGGATTCTTTGACTCCTTATGAGGATTGTGTATATACACTGCAAATTACATAACCGACTACTGCGATGGAATTTCGAAAGATCATCTTAACAAAATGGAACACAGTTGTTGAACAAAGAATTCACAGAAGATATATATGTATATATATAATTTTTTAGGTGGTATTCATCGTGGATTGTACCAATCAACAAAAGGAAGCACGACCTATGTGTTTTTAACTTAGAATGAGACTACTTAGTAGTACGTATCAATGACTCAACCAACGGTCTAATTTTGTTATCTTCAAGTAAGACAGATGGCTCTATCCAATAAGCTATCGTTTTAGATAGTGCCTAAACTGAAATGATTTAGTGATATCAATTTATTAAATTGGTCAGCCATAAAAACTGTTCTTCCAAATGGTAACTTAGAAGTGTTTTTTTTAAAATTTATTCAAAAGTTCGAGGTCATTCAGTGAGAGGAGGATCTATACGTTCTAGACGGCTTGACAAAAAACCTTAACAACAGTAGTAACCCCCTATGAAATTGAAGTTGAAAAGTTAAAAATACAGGGAAAGTTTTATTCTACGAATTGATAACTGTGATATAATAGTTCTATTTATATGGTAACAACTATATCCTTAAGATATTCAATAAAACATAACAAATTAAAACCAATAATGAAAAATCAAATTAATAAACGAAGATTAGTATAAATTCACTTAGTATTGTTTGTTTGAATCTTCCCATTGATGTTTTAAGACTTCAACTAATCAGTCTCTTATCGGCATATGTGCATACTGTCAGTATTGCCTCGATATAGCCTTAATTCACAAGTATTATAAGCAAAAGATAGATAGTGGCTAGCAGTGGAATCCAGTTTGACGCACGTTTCGTCCTATTTGGGACTCGGCAATACGCACAGTATGAACATACGCCGACTGGCGACTGACCAGTTGCATTCCTAAAATATCAATGGGAAGATTTAAACAAACAATACAAAATGAATTTAAAACTTCACCCCATTTCACAAGCAAGTGGTTATTAGGACTCAGTAGCTGAGTGGATAAGGCGATAGCGTTTGAAGCAAAAGGTATTGAGGTTCGATTCCCAGAGTGAACATCAACTCTGAGAATGCAGGTACATCCAATTGACGAGTCCCAAATAGGACGAATCGCGCGTCAAACTGGATTCCACTGCTAGCCACCATCCATCTTTGCTTAATATGCTTGTAAAGATCAGTATCATAATATGAACTCCAAGTTACTAAAGAATTTCTTATTCATCAATACTACAGTTACTTAACTAAAAAAATACAAAAAACAAACATTGAATAACTTCGTACTTTGGTAACCTTACAAAAGATATGATCATTATTGGCATGATTATGACTAACTTACATTTTGTACAGTATCTGATTTTCTTTTCCATTCTTCTAAAATTAAATTACGTTTAGGTTTTTTACCATTCCATGTTTTACTATGTTGTTGTCGATGTTGTTGTTGTTGTTGTTGTTGTCTCTGTCTTTGTTGATTCTTCTTCTTTTTCTTCTCTTGTTGTTGTTGCTGTGGTGATAATGGCGATGATGCCGATGATGATGATGTTGCCATGGGTGGTAATTGTGTAACATTTTCTAATAATTGTTTATTATATGATAATGATTTTGATTTATCATTTGATTTTTCATTAATAAATTCATCAGAATATGAATTAATTAAAAAAAATTTTTTTTTATTTTTTTGTTGTACCGAAGGATCATCATCATGATCATGATCATGATCATTTAAGTAGTATATTCTTTGTTTTAATTTTAAATTTGATAAATACCAATTTAATGTAGGATTAATACGCTTTGATGATGAGGATAATGATGATGATCGATTATTGTAATATGATAATTGATTATTTTTATTTGGATAATATGAATTATGAAATGATGATAATAATGATGATCGATTTATTGATTTCTGTTGTAATTTCTTTTGATTGATTTCTTGTAATGAATCATAATTTATATCATTCTTAGGGATAGTACTATTAGTTGTCGTACTCGTCGTTGTCGTCATAGTCGTTGTTGTTGTAATACTAGCGTTGTTTGAAGATAATATTGATGATAGTGTTCAAGATTCTTGAATTGTTGTTGATAATAAAAGGGATCATTCAAATTTGAATATCGTCAATGTGGATGACATTTTTGGCGGCCTATACTCCATTAGGAGTAATAAACGTAAGTAAGAAGGTAAGTAATTTGTAATGATGATAACATGATCAATTCATATATAATTAAAAATAAATCTATGAGCACAAAAACAAAACAAAACAAAAAAGTTTTTTGTAATTTCATTGTTGCTAAGTCTATTTTTTATTGGATAAATAGATTGAATCATAGTTTTAGTTCTACTTTTATTCTTTAAGTAATCTCCAAGTGATATCATATGATTCAATAGTATAATAATAATAGTAAGGAGATACCCTTCTTCTTACTCTCTCTCTCTGTATGTGTGTGTGTATATCTATTTTGTGTACATGTTGTCAGTATATGATTATATATTGGCATTATTGTAAATGAGATTGTTAATGAACTAATGATGTACAATTTTAACATTGTAATTGAACATTGAAATTGTAATTTGTTTGTGTTTTCGTCAGTGAAAAAACTTTTTTTTTCTTGGTCATATGTAAAATAAAAATGTAAAATTTATCAATGTTAGATTACTATGATTATTGTTAGTAGTAGTAATAGTAGCAGTAGTAGTAGTAGTAGTAGTAGTAGTAGTAGTAGTAGTAGTAGTAGTAGTAGTAGTAGTAGTAGTAGTAGTAGTAGTAGTAGTAGTAGTAGTAGTAGTAGTAGTAGTAGTGGTAGTAGTAATAATAATAATAGTAATATGATGAATATTGTCAAATGATGAATGTATGAATGAATGAATGAATGAATGAACGAAGGGAAGAAGGAAGGAACCAGTGTTAATTAAAGCTATATTAAACTATTGGTTATCTTTTGTATTGGTGAAACTAGGATAAAAATGATAAGTGAGAGAAGGTAGATCAGCTATTTTGTTCTAATATATTATAAATCCTTAGTAGTTTGTGTTATATCCTGAAAAGAATTATGTATGGTACCTTTGGAGAACTATTTATGGACCAATATGATATGTATATTTCCCATTATATAACTGCTAAGTAACTTGACTATTCATATTCATGTCCACCTTATTATAAGTCTTACTTTAACTTATAGCCTATTAATATACGATTTATTATTCTTGAGTTTTCCCTAGTCCATTATTAAATGTTCCCCAAATTCACAGCCAAATATTGTACAAATGTTGTTTTCTTACTTTATGGTACAATGTGATCAGTTTGTTTGGTATATAAACCCAGTAGGTTTGAGGATAATGATTCATATTGCAGAGGCTGTTATTGGTGTTCTGGACTTAAATGACTGGACTAGGCAGAAAGCAGGACCGATAAGTATTCTAGACTGCTCATACGGGTTTCACTTGTCATTTGTCTGATCGATAATTCACTGGCCTCTAATTCACCAGCACAAGACATAACAGTTTATAATCATGATCTATCAGGTAAAAACAATGAGTACATTACTTTTTCATCCTATGACTCTTCATCTGGAGGGGAAGCACAAGAAATAGTGAACAGCTAGGATGCAGCTAGACGATTTAGACTTCGCATATGATCTGGCTCTTCTATCACACACGCAGCAACAAATGCAGAAGATGACCAGTGTAGCAGCAGTCTCAACAGCAGCAAATCTCAATATAAACAAAGGGAAAAGTAAGACTCTCTGATACAATACAGAATGCATCAATCGAATTACACTTGATGGAGAAGTTTTTCAGGGTGTGAAAACGTTTACATATCTGGGTAGTATCACCGATGAGCACCTCGTATCTCATGCAGATATGAAGGCACGGATCGGTAAAGCAAGAGCATCATATTTACAACTGAACAACATCTGGAACTCAAAACAATTGTCAAACAATAAGAAAGTCAGTATTTTCAATAGAAATGTCAAGACAGTTCTACTGTATAGGGCGGAGACGTGGAGAACTACGAAAGCAATCTTCCAGAAGATACAGGTGTTTATGAACAGTTGTCTACTCAAAATACTTCGAATCTGTTGGCCAGACACCATCAGAAACATTCTACTGTGGGAGAGATTAAACCAGATTCCATCCAGTAAAGGAAGAAATAAGGAAGAAGTGCTGGAAGTGGATCGGACACACTTTGAGGAAATCACCCACCTGCATCACAAGACAAGCCCTCACATGGAATCCTCAAGGTCAAATGAGAAAAGGAATACCAAAGAACACATTACGTCGAGAAATAAAGACAGACATGAGAAGAATGAAGATTGATTGGATAGAAGTATAAAGGTAGAGGTAGGACATAGTGGGTTGAAGAATGGTGGTCGGTGGCCTATGCTGCATCAGGAGTAACAGGCCTAAGTAAGTAAATAAGTATGAATCTTACTTTTATCAATTATTCTAGAAAATTGAAACTTATTAATTAGTTATTGGTTAGATTCTGGTTCATAATAATTTTATACGCAAATTTAAGAAAAAAAAACAGTTCAGTAAAACAATCACTACTTAACTACTATAGAAATTGTTGTCATCTACCATGTGACTTACATTATGTCATTGTAGATTATCATCTCATATTGTATAACATGTATGATATTTATGATTCATATCAATATTAAGTTCTGTGTACACTATTTCATTATCACACGTTTTTTTATTATTATTCAGTTAAATCTATTTCAAGCAATGATGTATGATCAACTTCATTACAATATACAAAGATGAATAGTGATTTTGATGTAGGTTTGTTCTCTGAACTGGATAGTTTGGTCGTGGTGCTTTTATCGTCCTTCTGAATGACATCATCAGGATAAACTTCGTGTAGAAGTGAAATGTTTGAATTTCTTTACATGTGATTCACAGCTTGTTCTATGCACCTCAATGTCAATAAGAATCAATCAAAATCACCCACCCGAGCTACAAATCTTCTTCACCATTTCAAAGATGAATAGTGACTAGCAATGGAATCCACAACGTGCATTTCATCCTATCCATCTTTACTTATAATGCTTGTGAATTAAAGCTATATCAAGGCAATACGCACAGTATGCACATATGCTAATAAAAAGAGACTGACCAGTTGCAGTCCTAACACATCGATGGGAAGATACGAACAAACAATACTAAATGAATTCATTACAATATTTGTAATAGTGAACTACATAAGTCCTATATCCTTAGCCTATACGGTTATCACGAAATATAATTGCCAATTTAGGTACATTGAGTTATATGACCAAACTAATGAAGTATACACTAATACTGTGGTGTGGTCTACTTATATCCATATAAGTAGTATATGGTGTGGGTCAGACGTAGAATGTATTTTGGCAGAAGACCGATGAGGAAAGAACTGAATTGAAGCGCAATCGTTTGGAAAATGCATGAGCAACGGAATTAGAGAAGAAACAATGAAGATTGAAACAATTGGTTGTTAATTTGCAAATTGACTGTTCATTGTTTGGTTATCAGAATTTACTGAGATAGTCTGTAATCTTACAATACGAGTAGCTTAGGGTTTTGATTGATCCTACTTCGTCCACTCCTGTCTGTTTCGCTCAGAACACCAATCTCAGCCTCCCCAATATAAATCATATATATGAAACATACTTGGTTTATATACAATCAAAATCAGACCACGTCGTATACTAAAGGTTACAATTCATTTATTCTCATCTGGATCTTCAACTGACTACTAAAAGACAAGAAAGTACAAAACTTTTCCATGCTAAGAAAATGATTTTACTTTCTTTTGAGATCGGTCAAAGTATCAATGTATTTTACTTTATCATGTACCTAAACAATGAATCAAAATTAGTCAATTGAATATGAATTATACAATAGTAAGATTATGTATTTGTTTATTCTGTTTGGCGTTTTTTTAGTGAGGTTGTTTTCTACGGGACGAGGTTGCTGTCCACATGCTCAACCTTCCACCTTCACTCGGGCTTGGGACCGGCGGTAACGCTAGGAGAGCTACAGATGAAAGATTTTAGGGAACCTTCTTCGATATTATGGTATACCTGAAATCATCAACATCATATTGAATTCAAACAACCGACTACGCTGCGAATTTGTACGTAGAGGAGATCTGACAGACGCAGTACAAGTGAGGGTCAGTTTCAAGCAAGGCTGCTTATTCTCATTCTTTCTCTTTCTTCCACTTGGTTGACTGGATTATGAAAACTTAGATATCTGAGAGGAAGCATCGAATAAAATGGACAGCTTATATGCAACTATATGATTTGGACTGAGCAGATGATCCAGCTCTTCTACCCCAACTAATGCAGATGAAGACAACTAGTGTAGCACCAGTCTCTGAATCAGTAGGCCTCAGCATACGTAAAGGAAAAAGCAACATCCTCAAATACAACACAGAGAACACCAACCAACCCAATTACAATGGATGGAAAAACTCTAGAAGAGGTGGAAACTTCCACGTATCTGGGAAGCATCATCGATAAACGTAGAGGATCTGATCCAAACGTAAAAGCAAGGATTGGCAGAGTAAGGACAGCATTCCTACAATTGAACAATCTATGAAACTCGAACACAACTATCAACCAATATCAATGTCACAATATTCAATATAACGTCAGGACAGTTAGTTCTACTGTACGGAGCTGAAACATGGAGAACTACTGCAATCATCATCAAAAATGTACAAGTGTTTATAAACAGTTGTCTACACAAGATACTCGATGTCCGTTGTTGACCGGATACCATTAACAAGAGCCTACTATTGGAAAGAAACCAACTTCCAGATGATGAAGAAGTTAGGAAAAGACATACATTGGGTAAATCATCAAAATTGAGTATTTTATGATTGCATACTTATTCTAAATGGTTATTTTATTTAGTCGACCAGTCCGATAAGAGTAAATTGTGTCATTTGGAATACTACTTGCTAGTAGTTTTAGGTAGTATGACGTTTCGACTAAAATTTGTTGATGGACGGTTTAGATTATCATTTATACATGGTTTAATATAGGAGTAAACAATTTTCTTAGAAAATGACATGAAGGGATACACAGGGTCGTGCTGAGAAGATGTACAAAAACATTATATTGAAGATTATGACTCGTTGTTTATAATCGAAACTAGGATTTATTTGTGTTTACTACATTATTCTATCGATTGAAGGTTGAGTGGAACTCCAGCTTTACACCGATGCGTTCTGATTGGTCTTTCAAAGCATGAGAAAGATACGCAAAATTTATAAACAAGAGATGAGATCTGAGTTTTGTCTTATTGAAGTCCATACATGTAAAAATGATTCTTTATATATAATAGATCATTGAACAGCTGTTCCTTAGAGTTATAGTCAAATCGCAGATCACTTAGTTACTTTTGAAGATCATGAGAAGCTTCCTCAAAGTCGAAATAATGTGGAGCTATTTGGAAATCAAACTGTAATCCTCTTAATATTAAATTTTTTGAAGGTTATGAACAATCACTGTGCAGTGCTGAAATTCGGTAAATATACACCTCGATAGATTAGAATGGTCGTGTGCATTGTATGGAAATGACCATAGGTAATCTCCTGAAGCTTCAAAGGCAATAGATGAAGTTTGGCTTCAAACTTTATTAACTGAGATCTTAATATTAAATAATGTTTGTTAAGCAATGATGGATAGTCGATACTAGACTCTAGTTGACATACGTTTCATGACATCTAGCATTCGCTCAGAAAGTACATCTCTAATACCGCGGAGAATCAATGCTGCCTATGTGGTGCAAACCTTAGTCGTTCAGTTTCATAGCCCGAGATGTTACCCTTGCACAAATCTGGTAGCGACTGATGTCCTTCAGAGAGCTAAGATATTTCCAGTGATCACTGAGTAGTAACTAATGTAGTTCGTCAATCCCAAGGTTTCCTGTTAACTACTTTCAACCAATTAACATCGCAACATAGTGCAGACGATGTGTTAATCAATCAAATTCATGGTCACATTGCAAAGTCATAGATAGAATTCGACTAGTACTACAAGACCAGATAAACATGACATTAGTCACTCCATGGTGATTAACCAATCGTTAAGTGCTATCTCCTTAAAAAAATCTAAAATTATCTTATATTTGACAATCTTAGACTTTTAAATGAAGGTGAAGGGAGAATTCTATAAAACAAAGATTTTTCGAGTTTATTTCTACGCAACACTGTAGTGAACAAGAACATGATTCGGGACAACTGAATGTATTTTAGCACAACATTACAGACTATCTCATTAAAATATGAAAACTATATAATAAACAACTGGTCAGCATCTAATTGGTATATGTGCATACTGTGCGTATTGCCTCGATATAGCCTTAATCCACAAGCATGGTAAGCAGAGATGGATAGTGGCTAGCAGTGGAATCCAGTTTGACACGCGATTCGTCCTATTTGGGATTCGTCAGTTGGATGTACCCGCATCTCAGAGTTGATGTTCACGCTTAGACTCGAACCTCAGTACCTTTCGCTTCAAACGCCATCGCGTTATCCACTCGGCCACTGAGTCCTGATAGCCACTTGCTTGTGCAATGGGGTGAATTTTGAACTCACTTAGTATTGTTTGCTTGAATCTTCCTATCTTCGATTACAATGCTATATCGAGGCGATACGCACAGTATGCACATATGCCAATTAGAGACTGACCAGTTGCAGTCCGAACACATCGATGGGAAGATTCAAACAAGCAATACTAAGTAAATTTAAACTTCACCTCATTGCACAAGCAAGTGGTTATCAGGATTCAGTAGGTGAATGGATAACTCCATAGCGTTTGAAGCGAACGATAGTGGGTTCGAGTCTAAGAGTGAACATCAACTCTGAGATGCAGGTAAATCCGTCCGACAAGTTCCAAATGAGACGAAACGCGCGTCCTGAATTCCACTGCTAGACACTATCACTCCTTGAGATGGTGGAGAACAAACATATTGAAATCAATCCAATCTATCAAGCAATCAAGAAAATTATGCAGGAGCATAGGAACAAAAATCAAAACAATAGGAGATACAACCAAAACAAAGAAATAAACAATGACAGATTTAAGGTCAATAAGAACCAATCAACATCGAGGTGCAGAGGACAAGCTGTGAATCACATGTGGAGAAATTCAAACACTTCACTTCTACCCGAAGTTTGTGCTGATGATATCGTTCGGAAAGACGATGAAAGCTCCACGACCAAACCATCCAGCTCAGAGAACAAACCAACATCACTATCACTCCTTGCTTATATAGTGAACAGTTAATTTGCAAAATAACAATCAATTGTCTCAATCTTGACTGTTTCTTCTACAAATATCCGTCCATACTCTTCGATTATAATTGTTCATGCATTTTCATACGAATTGCATGCCGTTTCTATTCTCTCTTTATTAATCTTCTACTGAAATACATTCAATGCCAGAACATCATCATCATCATATACTACTTATGTAAATATCAGTAAACTACACCACAACATTATTTAAAATTGATTAAATCAGTGATTAGGAGAGAAAAAAAAAGGCGTATTCGATAGATAAATAAGTATTTATTGCATTACACTATATGTATTGCATAAATATACACAAAAAGAGGATTATGATAATTCTCATAATAAACGAAATTATATCACTCAGATTTTTGGTTTTTTATAAGTAGTATAGATAATATAAAGAAAAATAATTAAAAAAAAAAGATTAGACAGATTAATCGATTATTCACAATCATCAAACCTCATATATCTCTTTGTAACTTTCCCCTCTCCTTTCTTTACTCCATAAATGATCAAAAAACAACAATGAAAATGCATACAGAGATATTGGATTAAGGATGGATAATGAATTAAAATATACATCACAATATGGAATAGTTAAAACATAAATCAAATAGGCTTATAATAGATGAAACAATTTGCCAGGATCAGAATTCCATGGAAGGTCTCATAATCCTCTATGAGGGGTAACCAAATGTAAGTAAATTAATACCATTCAATAATTAACAAAAGTTTTTTTGTTTCTTTTCATTAAAATGAACTTCTATTTTAAATAGTACAGTATGTATTACTTATAAGTAGTAAAATTAAAAACGGATTTTCAATTAAACAATTCATTTTAACAAAGAGAAGCAATAAGTAAGTAAGTAAAAAAAAAACAGAGAAAAACAAAAAAAACTTGATCAATATTAAATTGGTTCTCTTTTCTATGTTGTTTGAATAAGTTTTTTTTCTGGTTAGCGTTTTTTTAGCTAGTTGGTTTTCTACGGGATGGGGTCGCTAACCGCATCCCCAACTCTCCTTCTTTATCCAGGCTTGGAACCGGCAGTAGCCCCCGGAGGAGTTAAAGGCGTAAGTAAGGAATTCTACGTTGTTTTTTTTATATTACTGTCAGATTATCGATTTAATTATGGGATCTTAAAATGAAATTTTAAAAAAAAATAAATAAACATGACAACAAAAAAATATTTACAAAAATATTTTACCAAAAGAAACTGATAAGCAAAACAAAAAATTGAAAGAAAATTAAAAAAATACAAACCAAGGGACATAGCACATTCAATTACATATACATAGTATCAGAATGTTTATAATTTATCGGCAGCATTCTACTGTTGGAGAGAACCAACCAGATTCCATCCGGTGGAGCAAGAAATCAGGAAGAAGCGATGGAAGTGGATAAGATACACATTGAAGTAATCACCAAACTGTGTCACAAGACAATCCCTCACATGAAATCCTCAAAGCCAAAGAAGAAGAAGAAGACCAAAGAACATATTATGCCCATGAAACGGAGACAGACATTCGAAGAATAAACAAAAGTTGGATAGAACTAGAAAGGAAAGGGTAGGACAGAGTGGGTTGAAGAATGGTGTTCGACGGCCTATGTTCCATTGGGGGTAACAAACGTAAGTAAAATAAATAAGTAAGAATGTTTATAATTGGTTTTGAAATAAGTAACAACATGTTAACACACACACGCACGCACACATTGATGGGGAATATTTACCTTTCTTTACGGTTTCTTTGTTAAAATACGTAATACAGATGGATGTATATGGCGATTAATTATTAAATATTACGAAAGAAATTAAAAAGAATTTTGATTAGATCCATCATCAATTGTTACTGATGGTAATACAGAAGAAAGATAACGTCCAATATTAATTGGATCTTCACATTGATTTGAATCAACAATTCCACCTGTTTGTCGAATATCTATTACTGTACTTTGACGTTGAACATTACCTGATGGACAAGCACCAGCTGCAGTAACAACAAATCTATGTTTTAAAAGATTTTCTAAAGATGGTCGATCACTAGCTGGACGTCGAAGACATGAATCAACTAAGTCAATAAAATCATCAGAGAAACAAAATTTTGGTAAACGAGGCGGTGGTTGATCTACAATATAGGATAATAGTTCAAATATTGCCATTGGTCCGGAACTTGGACTGTTGACAGCTATAGTTGAAAAAATAAAAAATAATAATTAAGACGCTTAACATACACACCAGTATATCATTATCAAAAAGGGTTTACATTACTCCATTATTGAAATTCAAGATTGCATTTCGAGTGGCTGGTTTCTGCCGAGATTCGGTAGTCGAATGAATAATGTATTGACTATTAAAACGATAAGCATTGGATTCGAATCACAACGTAGTAAACATCAAAACTGAAGTTCGGCTACATCCGACTGATGAATCTCAAATAGGACGAAACTATATATATATATATATATATATATATATATATATATATATATATTGATGACTTCATACTCTGATTTTAGACAATTGTTGAAAACGAGGGATTGCTGGATAACTGCTTCATAGTAGTATGAGACTCCTCATGAGTGTGGATGTACTAAGCTCATCAGAGATTGATTCAAGGAGCTTCAGGTCATTATATTGACACTCAGTACTAAGTATCTTCAAATTCAATCGAAATACGATTTTAGCCGATTATCATCCAATGACATTAGTGGCAAATCGCTTCTCCACCACATCAATCAGTCACAACGTAGAACTTCGTACATACGTACATTAGTTCGATTTACCATACCACATTAGCAGAGAGATGCAGTTGTCGATTCAAATCTCACCACATAGTCGAAATTCGCCAGTCTCAATGCTTTTCAACTGACTAGGTAAACTAGATTAGAGAATATAGGTTGTCTCTATAGATTTTTCTATATCTCTATAGCTCTTATGATTTTGTTTAAACTTTGATTGACTTGAAAACTCACTACCAAGTTGTCAATTAATAAAACGAAGCTAATTTATTTAATGTTGTCAGAATAAAATGAAAACATTAAACAAGTGAACTGATCTCTTTTCTTAAGATAATCTAAGAAAGTGAATTAGAAATCACAATCGAAATTCAGTCAATGTTATTTAGTAGCTAAGTTTACTAATATATATTAATGTTAGAAGTATGGCACGTAAGTTTATGAACCGGTTGGATAGTATAACTCTGGCAATCTACTAACAACGGTTTCGATAATCTGTTGGAACTATTAGTTTGTTCTCTTTGAAAAAAGATATGACTCATGTATACGATGAATAAGCTACGCTATAATTGTCAACCCCAAGTAACGTATGAGTTGACACAAATATGCATCGACTGAAGTTGCTACATGAAATCAGTACAATGAGATAAAATTATCAATAGTAGCACTAGTATTAAAAAGACAATAGGGTACAAAGAATATTACTCGAGAAAAAATAGTGGATTCACAGAATAACAAGTTTTAAGTAATTTCGAAACTTTCGATCGAAGGGCAGATACAGAGTAAGTACATTTAGACTATGATGACTGATTCTCAGCTATGCTAATGAAAGTTACAATAATCACGTGGACCCCAACCAGGTAGTCTGCACTTATCCACATCGTTCAGTTAGGTTATCAATAGCTTTGACGATTGATGCTACTCTTTAATTTGGCCGTCCGTAGCTTCCCTCTAATCTACTCCCACGCCATACAATATTTCATGTCGAGGTAGGTGGTTGAGTATATGTTGATAAAGAATAACTTTTTCCAAGCTCTCTAAGCTAAACCTGAACATTACTCGAGTGGTCGTTCCATGATAACGCAACAATGCTTCGAAAACGTTAATCATCAAAAAGCTTCTACTTTCAGAAAGTATGTTTCACACTCATAGAGTAACACAGAGAAGACTACTGAGAAATATACTCACCCCATAGTTTGAAGATGAAAAACTCGCCAACGTCACAAGCAACGTAATTTGGCGAAATCAACGGGAAGTATTTAAATGCATGTTGAAATTTTGTCAGGAACCAACTCATCAGAGTTTAAGTGAATTATTTATATCGCGAACCGATCTAAGTCAGACAACTCTTAAAATCCAGGAAGTACTAGTCAGCAATCTCGTCCTAGTGAGAGACTCTTCAGAAGTGCGCATCCGCGAACCCACTCTTGAAGCTAACAAATTTCCGGAGTTTTACTACGAAGCCTTGGCTAGTGGGGTTCAAATACGTAAGGTGTGGAAATGGCACTCTCTGAAGACGGTGGAAGATGGCTGTGCAATATCGCGGACTAATCAAAGTTAAACTTATACACTATTGGATGCCATCTCAGTGGTTTAAAGATTAAGCGACCATGGATGAGACTGAAGGTCCTGGACTCGATTCCTAGTCGTGGTGTTGTGGATGAGCACTGTTGAGGGGTTCCGTATTAACAAGAAATGGCTGCCTAGTACCTTAAGGTGTTCAATGGGTGTTTAAATTCGATCGATTCGTGATCTCAATAAAATTCAACAATCTAAACAACTTCCATACCGATAAGTGAACTGGTTAATGTATTCAACTGTTTCACTCGCTACCAATAGTCTAAACGTAATGCAGAGTTCTTTCAGAAGTCAAATAACTGATCACAATTTAATATATAAATCAGTACTTGGAAAATCAAGTTACGCCTTATACATTGTTACATCAGTCTAACAAATTTATTTCAAAATAAATAAGTAATTTCTTACCAGGAAGTGGATTTCCTTCTTTAGCTGCTTCTAAATGTTGCTCTAAGTTTACATCTCGTTGTGAACTGAAAGCACTTAGATAAACTTTTTCATCTTCAATTGCTGGAATCGGGTATCGACCAGTTGCCAGTTCAACTAACGATAAACCCAAACTCCATACATCACTTAATGTATTGTACTGTTCACCTGTTAAACGTTCCGGTGCCATGTAACTTCTTGTACCAACAAATGAATTAGCCAAGGAATCAATCAGTTGACCACTTACACCAAAATCGCACAATTTCACATCGCCTGTACGATTTACAAGGATATTGGATGGTTTGACGTCTCTGAAACATTCATCAGCAAATTAACGTGATAAACTACATTCGATGACACGAAAATGATTTTATACTACTTGAAAAAAACTATTAAGTAGTAAACAAGTTATTGTTAAAATAAAAATTAGAGGTGGAGGAAATTGGGCAGAGATGAATTTCGACTACATTCAATGTGTAAATATGGGAAGTGAAGTTCAAAAGTGATAATAAGACAAAAATCGAAGAATGAAATGTTACGAAGGACATATTTAGAGAGAAATATAAAATAGATGAAACTGCTTGACCGTGACAGAATTCGCACCATGTTATACAATGCATCCAACCATACATTCGAGCAATCGTGTGGTTTGTTACCAGGGCGCCTATATTTCCTGAAATAGCTCAGGCCAGGAGTGAATGGGTTTATATGTCGAAGTCTTATCCGCATTTCTTCAAACTACTCATCTGGATGACCAAGCAGTGCACGTCTTGGTTCGCTGCGACCGAACACAGTGTTGTTTTTTTGGAGACGTTTCCTTTAATGCAAAGAAATGTCGACAATTAGTTATCAATTAATTGTTCATTACTTTTTGATAGCACTATTTCTGAAATAGACCAACAACTTGACACTAGTGCCTTGAGATTTCAGGATCAATTATCATAAAGATGAACGAAATGCGATTACTGTAACACAAACTTGAAAAGTTTTGTACAGAATATGAGTGTCAGGGAAGTCGTTTTCGGTGAACGGACCTAACGTTGCATGATGAATAGGATAGATTCATACTCACGAGATACCAACGAAGGAATTGGTTGATCCAGACAGCAAGGCGACAGGGATGAAAGTCAGAAGCCTCTAGATTGTGTAACAACTAGCCTTCAAAAAGGATGATGATCGAAAATTAAACTGATATCCAGCAGTGGAGCATCGTGAGGAGATGCAGTCCCATGGTAGCCGGTGACCAACGATTGATTCATACGCCATTTGCTGCATCAGGATACTGAAGCCCATGTGCACCATTGTTTTGGAATCAGGGTTTTCCAACGCCCCTAGATGGACTTTCCGTGTCCACCAACCCGGTTAAAGCTCCAGACATTCGCTTTTCGTCCTGCCAATTTCGTAAACAACAGTAATGCTACAAGAAGGCAGTGAGTAGGACTTCCCTGTCCGAGGCTATATACGCGTGGCCATGTGAGAGCGTTTGGAGAGGGAGAGCGGACTCTCCGCACTCTCGGCCGTACCAGGGCATTTGGGGGGAATTAACCTACAGAGTGCACATTTTCTTTTTACGTTATCACCATCAAATATTCAATTATTAGAAAAAGATGTCATTCATCGATGGTTCCAGTTCAGATTTTTAAGTTCCAGTTCACTTCCTCTGTTGCTACACACATATGAACAATGTTGTTTTCTCTTAACTAGAGCTGAAAAACTGTCCTATTTATAGGTACATATTTCCAGGAAGAAAAAGGAAGGTCTTCAACAACAACAATAACGAAATGATGACTTCATTGAAAAGGAAAACAAAACAGGATCCATATAAAAATGAGCAACAAAATATTAGTAGCACAATATTTTTTTGAAAAAAACATGATTATGTTTATTTTGTTTTATTAGATGATGTTTTTAAACTTTTAAAAATTGTGTTTTTTCATTGTTTTGTTCATGAATGTAAACTATTTTCAAAAAGAAACTATATACTCAAACGAAATTAACCACGGAACTACTAAAAAGCAATCGCCCCCAAATGCCCTGGTACGGCCGAGAGTGGGAAGGGACAGCCCTCTCTCTCCAAATGCTCTCATATGGTCACGCGTGTACAGCCTCCGTCAAGGAAGTCCTAATCACTGTCTTTTCGTGGCATTACTGTTGTTGACGAAATTGAGAAGACGAAAAACGAATATCCGAAGCTTTAACCGGGCCGGTGGACACTGCGAGTCCACCTAGGGGAGTTGGAAAACCTTGATTCCAATCCACTAGTGCACATGGACTCCAGTATCCTGAGGGAACAAATGGTGTATGAATCAATCGTTGGTCACCGGCTACCATGAGACTGCATCTCCTCACGATGCTCCACTGCCTTGTGGATCACACCTTTAGGTCAAAGGCTCGGGGTGTGGCTCCCTAAGAAAACCACCTGCTTCTGTCTTGGCACCCGGGCAGTATCACAGCCCTCACACAAATCGAATGAGATTTGTGAGGCGCATATTTATCTGGTGCTTCCTTGTACCAATATTTATGTGTTTAAATAAATAGATAAATAATAGTAACTTGAATTGATGCACATGTGTTAGATCCTACGCCACATATGACTGATTGACTGACCGAGTTATGGCTAATTAATTATGTACTGTTTGCTCTATTTTCTGGCACTGATTGTAGGATTGTATAGAAAATATGATTTCACACTTTGGGTGCATGGCAGTCTGGTAATCCATGTATATAGAGAGCTAACGAGTGTTTGAGGGGCCAAGGTATAGAGAAAAGTGTGGATATAGGTGGACCAATAGAAGATATTTGATATTTGTAGAAAACTTTTAAAAGGTATGATCCTATTTGAAGTATGCACTGATGATATTGTTTGTAATGATAATGAGAGCTTTGCAGTGAGACAGCTCACCTGAGAGAATACAGTATCAATAAATAAAACTACTTGAGCTAAATATCTTCTTTATCACGATACTGACATATTTATAGCCTGTTTTAGAGGACTTACATACACTGGCTTAAATTAGTTTGAATATTTTCTCCTAAAAGTGTAGAAAATGTGGGAACGGATTTTTGGCTCTTAAAACTAACCAAAACCTAAGGACGGTCTAATCAGAAGTAACAGAAAACTGACTAAAATACAAATCAATAAAGACTTTAGGTTCAAAGGAAACAAAAAGTATATAAATTTTAGTTTCCAGTTTCAGGGTGATGAATTAGTAGTAACTCAAGCACACCTTTTAAGCACTGAGCCACAGGTTCGAATACCAAGTCTCCTTCAGTTTGAACAACAAGGTAGCATCACTATTAGCTATTATACTGAAGACAGTCGAGTACATAAGACTATAATTGGTAAATGGGTTGTATCAGACCAAGGATACTGAGGAATGCAAACTTCAAATTTTTCTTTCTCATTCATCAAGGATGTGATATTCAAGTGAGGATCTAGAACGATGTTTCCGTAAGACAACTACTTATTTCGAACTGAACAATCAAATTCTTTATACAAATCGTGATATAATAGCCGCTGGATGACAACTTTTGTTTAAACCTCGTGAAGATTGGTGATGTTTCTCTAACAATAACTTACTACTTTAAATATACATCAACATAAATAGAAGTGACCGTCCGATTTCGAAGAAATACATATTTTCTTTTATGCTCTTCATCCAACAGTAAAAATTAAAAACAAATTAGGGACTGGTAGGTCCTGGGTTCGAATCTCGCAAGTGCGGGATCATAGATGCGCACTGCTGAAGAGTCCCATATTAGGACGAAACGGCCGTCCTGTGCTTCCAAGTTTTCCATGGTGACCTAGCTGCAATTGACTCATGATTTCAACTATTAAAATTAAGGAAAGACAACAACACAAAGAAGAAGACTTTACTTACCTATGTATAATATGTAATACTTCACGTAAATAAACTAAACCACGTATTACAGAATATAATATTTTAGCAACAATTGGTTCAGGTAAACGACCAGCATGTAATAGAACAATATCTAAACTTCCACCATCCATATATTCCATGCATAAACTAATATCACCATCAGCAAAAAATGCACCATAATAGCCAACAATATAAGGTGAATTACAATCATGTAATACCTGATAGTAAATAATTAATGGAAACATAAAAAGGTAAAATGAATCAATAGCTTTGTGATAACATCTCAGACATTGAAGCTAGAAGTATTATGGGTTCAAATCATTAGTGGTATATAGTACTATTTCACATCTACACGATTGATTTTAACCTTTGGATATATAAATTATTCCAGTTTTTCTATTTATTGTATATCATCCATATGTTTGACATTGCCAATTATTTATGTATAACACTCAGTATGGTCTATACACGAATGTGTCAGTCAGTCAGTCAGCTACAACGTAGGACCAGGCACACATATGCATCGGTCCAAGTTGCCATACCTCGTTAGCACAACAAGATGAACACCGAATTCATAGAAATACTTGAACATGTGTTTGTATACTTACTTATTTGCATCCCTTTTATGCTTAGAAAAACTGATTTACTTATTAGTCACTCTCAGTTGATTATTTCTGCTACTCTAGTTCATGTGCATTTCTTCTTGTCTCTTATCATTCGTCTGTATGAATGAATGTCTGAAATATATATTCTTTAAATACTTTCGTATTCAGCTTCTTATATGCATGTTGTTATTAACGAGATGCACCGACAGAATATATACAAACTAAATATGATATTCATTTCGTTAACATTATAATTAAATCATTATGGAGTCAGACATAGGGTACTAAAGGTATACCCTACTGGCAAGTACCCGATTAGCAGCATAAAACCTAGATCAAAGAGGATATTATAGAAACAACCTCTAAGTATTTCACAAACTAAATTACTGTATAAATATTTATGTAATTCATCATTGTAAGACCAGTGATAAGATAAGTAGGAAAAAAAACACTTTATAGTTGTTCATGTTTCACCTCAAGTATTCGATAACTAAGATAAAGATTAGTTTGTAGTGGAAATTATGAGATATTGTATTTCATAGGAGTTGTAGTTAAACAATACATGGAAAACGTACAAATTGTGCTCCGCCTGTAGCTCTTCTAGAGTTACTGCCGGTCCCAAGCACGGGTAAAAGAGGGGGGTTGAGCATGAGGTTAGCGACCTCATCCCGTAGAAAAGCTAACTCGCTAAAAAAACGCTAACCAGAAAAAATAATTCAAACCATTTAAACTCTGCCCTGGGAGTTGAAGGAATAATTATGACGCCTCATAATGAAAGCCGGAATTTTTCGGAAGTCACAAGGCCGATCCACCTTTTAACAACCAGAGAAACACTCTCTCTCTCTTATATACGTATAAAAGGCAACAATATTACTAATCAGAAAGGTAAACTAAGTTAAATGAAGTGGGGTTTCAAGTTACTGTATAGGGTGGAGACGTGGAGAACTACGAAAGCCATCATCCAGAAGATACACGTGTTTATTAACAGTTGTCTACGCAAGATACTTCGGATCCATTGGCCAGACACTATCAGCAACAACCTACTGTGGGAGACAACAAACCAGATTTCAGTGGAGGAAGAAATCAGGAAGTGCTAGGAGTGTATAGGTCACACATCGAGGAAATCACCAAACTGCGCCACAAGTCAAGCCCACACATGGAATCCCGAAGGCCAAAAGAGAAGAAGAAGACCAATGAACACATTACGCCGAGAAATGGAGACAGACATGAGAAGAATGAACAAGAATTGGATAGACCTATAAAGGAAGGCCCAGAACAGAGTGGGTTGTAGAATACTGGTCAGCGGTCTATGCTCCATCGGGAGTAACAGGCGTAAATAAGTAAGTAAATAAAGAGTTCAAGTTTGTGACCTACTAACTGAATGTTATCAACTTTAACTAAACTATAATATCGAAATGAAAACAAACAAAGAAACAATAAAGAAAAAAGAAACAGAAAGAGTTTAATAACTTACTTGAAGTTCACGTATAATTTGTGTTTTAACAATTGGTTTAATTTCTAAATGAATATTTTTTTTAGCCATAATTAAACCAGTTGTTGTATGACGTACACGACTAACTACACCACCATTACCTTTACCTAATTCATTTAATTTTTCAAAATCTTCTGGATGTAATTCACCAATTTTTTGTTTATCTGCTACAAATGCACTTAAACGACGTCGTTGATTATCATCTAAATCTTGTATTGCTAATTGTTTTAAACTAAATTTATTTTTGAAAAAAAAAAGAAAAGAAAGAGACGATTAAAGCTGAAAGTTAGTACTTATTTATAAATACAAACCATGATATATGAACCTGACAGCACTGGAAGGCCGTTTCGTCTTATTATGGGACTCCTCAGTAATGCGAATCTAATGGTTAAGCGCTTGCGTGCGAGACTGATAGGTCCTGGGTTCGAATCTCGCTAGGCGGGGTCGTTGATGCGCACTGCTAAGGAGTCCCACAATAGGAAGAAACGGGCGTCCAGTGCTTCCAGGTTTTCCATGATGGTCTAGCTTTAATTGACCTATGATTCCAACTATATAAAATTACTAAAATCTCCACAAAACCCCCTTTTGAATATGATATATGAAGCTTGAAATTTTAGTTATACACTGATGATGATAACTTGTATGACAATGGCACATACATATTCACCACCACTATCATCATGATTGATGGCTTTGAAATATAGATAAACTAATTAATGATTTTTTTAAAAATGTGACTGATTTATCAAGTGTAGATTGATATACTCGTGTTTATGAGACAGGTAATCAGATCAAAGTTGATGAAGTGACAGTATAACTTATTGGTTAAAAGTTAAGTGTTTATTTCTATCAATATTCAGATCAATAATCAAACATAAAACAATAAAAGTCTTTAACTATAAACTAAGATATGTTCGCAAACTTTAGTCAGTCATAGACAACGTAGAATCTGGGATGTATGTGCTTTGATTTAGGTTACCATATCACAGTAGCTTGTTATTGTAGGCCAACAATCGCGGTGTTTCTTGACATTAGGGCCGCCCTAGATTCGTTGAACAGGAATTCTTTTGCGTTGTCTATTGAAGAAGGGTGTGCCTGGGAAGTTTATTGACATCTTAAAGATCCTATATACAAACACCTCAGGCGGTTTTACTCTATGTTTATGAAACCTGGTCACTCCAAGTTGACGACGTTAGACAACTCTCTGTGTTTGATCATCGTTGTCTCCGAATGATTTCTGACATCAAGTGGCAACACCAAGTAATTACTGCAAAGGCTCGTCATCGTGTGTCTGGGCACACAGACGATAATTCATTTGGTGTCCCTATCTTGAAACATCGACTTCGGTGGCTTGATCATGTTCTACAAATATCGTCCGAGAGAATTTCACGTCGTGTATTATCGGCTGACGCTGGGACTGGTTGGAAAAAGCGGAGAGGTGGTCAGTGTATGATATGGTGTCGTAGTATGAGAGGATTTATTTTATTATTTATTTCAACACATAAATATAGGTACAAGGAAGCATCAGATATATACGCGCCGCACAAATCTCATTCGATTTGTGTGAGGACGTATGAGAGGAAGCTGTATAGGACTGGCTTCTATTGGACCTTGACGACTCCCTAGTTGAGGTCCTACAGATGGTGCAACACAGTAGCTAGAGACGCTATCAAACATGGATCAGAATAGAAGCCAGTGGCGATCCAGATGTAACTTTCTTTTACTTTCGTCATAAAAGTGAACGTAACTTCTTTATTTGGTAGAATTCTTTCTGTTAATATTTTCGCTGACTGAACTTCTCCCACTATTAGTATGTGGTGGTCAATATTTGATATCATCCCTAACTTCGTATATTATTCGTCTTCATAACCGTTACTCGATAACGTCCTAACGGTGTATAAATCAGAAGGCGAATACGAAGGGTTGATTGCGCATATTATTGAACCACACACAGATATCCAATATTACAGGCACGTTAAACAAGCATGAAAGAGTAGTGCCGTAAAGCAGGCGAGTGAGTGTGAGAACCGAATGAGTGAGTAAGCGTGCACAATACGGTGTAGCGCAGTGCAGAGCAGAGCAGTAAACAGGATTAAGATGTACATATATATATAAGTGGAAAAGTATGAGTCATCGGATCAATTAAGCGATTAATAATAATGCTAGTGGAATAAATACATGCGTAGGCAGTAAGCAATTTTCAAGCCTATATAATAAAAGTACAATGGTATAGAGAGGTTGTTATTGTATGAATGACTGTCCATTATATAAGTTAACAAAAGGGCTTGGCCAGATTAGGTGTAAACAAACTCAATTGTATCTGAGTTGCTATAAATATTCTTGTTATTATTACTTTACTCTCACACACAAATCTCCGTTCTTTGTCGCTTTTCTTTTTATTATAGTCACACACCCCATTCTCTATTTCATCCCAACCTCATTGTTATTGTGTGTCGTATATGCAATTGGTGCCCTCTTGTACTAGTGCTTGTATGTTCAGATAAAATAAACAAATAGTAACCGATGTCTTGATGGACTAATGCTGTGCTTCGGTTTGGTCGTACGCAGCTTTTTTCCAACCTACTCCTACGGCAAACAAAATCAACCGTCGAGATAGGAAGTGGTTGGATATACGTATTACATGTCCCAACCAAATCAGTCGACAAAGATTTACCAACTCATCAATTGTTGTGTCTTTACCTAGTACCTTATGCCTAACCTCAGTATTACTTACTCCGTAGTTTGAAAATACGAGAACAATGCTTCGAAGGCAAGTATGATCGAAATCTCAATCAGGCGATTTAAACCTTTCAATACAGATCGTAAAACACACATACACAACTCTACGGGTTATTTTTATGATTTGATAAGTTTGTACACTAAGCTAGTTAGTTGAAACTCCGAATTCAATACGATAAATGAGACTGTTTTCATCCTCTACTTTCCTGTTCGCTAACTGAAGTCAGAAGTTCGTGACTATTAAAGGAAACACAACTCGCAGCAAAACAGCTTCAGATATTACTATCATATAATAGAAGCTTAAGAGAATAATGGGCAACAGAATATAAAAAGACATGCAAATAAAACTATTTGACACAGGTATATATATACATAAAACATACACTTCAGCGACATCAACAGGTCCTGTGCTGATCCTATTTGAATAGCGATGTTCATTGTTTCGATCACCTCTCGAGCCAAATAGAGTATCGTTTGACGGCGTATGGCTTTTCTTTGGAGACAAACGAAGATCTGTGAGCGGTGGTGGGATTCTACGGTGTACAGGATGTGAATGATGAGCACTTGGACGATAGATACTAGTTTGTTGAGATGTTTTCACAGGCTGAGATGAATTCGTTAGAGTGTTATTATCATCCAGTTTATCTGATAATGATGCAGCTTTAGAAGTTCCATTTCTTTGTAATGATTCTTGTAAACTGTCTGAAGATTTATTCAACTCGGCATTTGTGACAGGTTCCTCGGATTTTTTATGTGTTGTAGAACAATTATCTGATGATTGGATAGCAGAACTCGGAAGCGTAAGATTCAACCGATTACGTCTACTTCCACTCCCAGAGGATGTTGACATTTAATTGAATTCAAATAGTGTGCTGTAAAAGGATGGAGAAAATAAAAAAAGTTCTTGGAAAAGGTATCAACTAATAAAATTTCGTTAAAAAATGTCATATAGACGCATACTAATTAAATCAGTCAAAACATCTTAACACTACGTTTCACCAGCATCTACTATGTACATTTATTTTATTTATTTAAACACATATATTGGTACAAAAGGGTACCAGATATATATGCGCCACACAAAATGATGAAAGTAGGAAGAGGAGGGATGAAAAGATAAGGCGGACTGGAATGTACAACCGGAAGACTCTTTCAGTTAAGAAAGAACCACTCTTTATGAAGAAAGTAAAAGGTTACAGCAGAATGGTCTCTGGCTTCTATTCTGAGCCATATCTGATAACGTCTCTAGCCACTGTGTTGCACCATCTCTCGGACCCCAGCCAGGGAGTCGTGAAGGACCAACAGAAGCTAGCCCTTGGCAGCTTTCTTTCATGTCACGACACCATGTCATACACTGACCTCCTCCCCGCTTTTTCCAACCAGTCCCAGAGTCGGCAAATAATGCACGACGTGGAATTCTCTGACGACATTCGTAAAACATGTCTAAGCCACCGAAGTCGGTGTTTCAAGATGGTGACACCAATTGAATTATCGTCTCTGTGCCCGAACACAGGATGCCGAACCTCTGCATTACTAACATGGTGTTGCCACTGGATGTCAGCAATGCTTTGCAGTACTTTGCACTTGGAGGGTGCAAAGCACATGCCGTACCTGCGGACACTGATTGCCAACCGATTAAGTGCGGATTGCATGCCTTGGGCATTATCGCACAGTAAGACAATATCATCCGCATACTCGAGGTCGAGAAGTCGTTCTTCACGCAACAGATCCACACCACCATTATTTACAACCATCAGAGCTGTTTCCAGAATGTCATCGATAGCAAAGTTGAAGAGGAATGGTGAGATCGGGCAACCCTGCCTAACCCCGCTGCTTGAAGAAAGGTGGAGAAAGGTGGTTGTATGCCCTCACCCTGCCTGAGGTGTTCGTGTACAGGGCCTTTAGGATGTTAATGAACTTCTCAGGCACACCCTTCTTCAATAGACAATCCCAGAGAACAGTCCTGTCCAACGAATCGAAGGCAGCCCTGATATCAAGAAACACTACGATTGTTGGCCTGCGATAAGTATGACGGTGTTCTAACATTTGGCGGAGGGTGAAGATGTGATCAATGCATCCTCGACCAGAACGAAAACCAGCCTGCTCCTCGCGAGTCAATCGTTCTCAGGTTTTAAACAACCTACGAAGAATGACAGAAGCCAATAGTTTGGACGCAATCGGAAGTAGACTTATCCTCCGATAGTTGTTACAGGAACAACGCGAACCCTTTTTAAAGATAGGGATAACTATCGACTCATTCCATGATGTTGGAAAACTTTCTGACTCCCAAACCCTTGTAAACAACATAGTCAATACCTTAATCAGAAAGTCACCACCATCTTTAAAAAGAGCCGGAGGTAAGTCATCTGGGCCCGGTGATTTGTAGCGCTTCAAGAGTTGGAGTTCCTTGGGGACTTCCGCCTCGTTTGATGGATCAGTCGTCACCAGCCATGGGGGGCAGGAAAAACTGGTTGATGTTGCCGGAGCAGCAGGCCAGTTGAACTGCCCTTCGAAAAATTCCGCCCATCGTCCAAGTGATATGCTTGAAGCTAAATCGATTCCGCGGTAACGAACGAAAGCCAATGACACAATGACACGATAAGCTATTCTAATCTGTTGTCCCAGGCCCCATCGAGAGATGTTAGTGATTGGCATCCCATCATCCCCGTACATTGTTTCACTCACACCAGACTTCTTGCTGCCAGTGGCTCGGATGAGTTGGAAGAGCTTCCGGCAGTTACCAGATGCAGCTGCTGCTTCCATCTCATTAGCACGCTCCGACCACCAGGCTTCCCGGTCCTTACGCAAGCTTTGCCCAATTTCATTACGTAACAGCCTTCGTTTGTGGTCAAACTCACGGTCACCCGGAGTAGACCGACGGGCTTCCATCAGTTGTAAGGAGCCAGAAGAAACCCAGTGCTTGCAAGCGGGACGTTTCGCGAAGCCGCAAGCGGCTTTACTCGCCATTTTCATGGCGTCGTGAAGAAGCAACCAATGCTCATCTATACTTTTCGGTGGGGTGGTAGCTAGCCTAGAGGCTAGCTCCGCTCGATACTTACTTGCAACAGGAGTTGCAGCCAGTTTACTAACATCAATCCGTTGGTGGTGGTCAATCCTTCGGCCACTGAAAAGTAAGGTGAGATTGGCGCAGACCATGGCATGATCAGACTCCAGATAGGTACTCCAAAAGGAGCGGCAGTCTTGTACACAACCACGCCAGCGGTAGCTGATCGCGATGTGATCAATCTGAGTCCAGGCTTGAGATGCAGAGGGAGGATGCCGGGAGGCACACCGGCGATGACTGTGCCGGAAGTTAGTGCTAGCCGGAAAAAGGTTGTGGTCTGTGCACAGTTGCAGCAAACGGTCCCCGTTATCTGTTCAGCGACCAACAAGTCCCCATCGGCCACCCAAAGGACTCTCTTCTGTGCCTAGACGCCCGACCTGTGCATTCAAGTCTCCGGCTAATACTACAATACCTACAATATGTACATTTGCAAACATCAGTAATGACTTCATACATATCCACTGAAATATTATTGCTTTTGTAAATATTAGTCTCCTTAATATTTCCTTGAAAAAGCTTGAACCAAATTGCCAGGCGAAACATTGGGTTTACTTCAAATTCATTCGCTGAGATTTTACAAATATGTTATTCCTATTTAATGTCTTACATCAACTCGGCGCCCAAACACCGTGAAACTATTCGCTCTAATTAAGACAAAAATTCTTATATATTTAGTCTCTTTAAATTAGTTGAATTAAATAATTTCTGCACTACTTAAATTTCGCTTTCAAATAATTCCACCAAAATCTTAGACTAACAAATTTAACATGTTTTTCACTATAATTCTACTACGAAATAGCATACTATGTTGCTTTAGACCATTTCACATAAAACCAAAGAATGCAAACTTTACACATATATGCATTGCTACACTTCATAAGTGTAAACGTAGTAAGATACTGAAACGATAAAACAGAGAATAACAAATTGACAAGGAAGGATAAAATGCTTTGAGTTAAGAAGAGGATAAGTAATAGATGACTTTACACCGTCACAATACGTTTCTAACAACTGATTACTAACAATAATTGATGCGATTATCCATCGCCCAAAAATGCCCTGGTACGGTCGAGAGTGGGGAGAGTCCACTCTCCCTCTCTAAATGCTCTCACATGGTCACGAGTATATAGCATCCGACAAGGAAGTCCTACTCGCTGCCTTTTTGTAGCATTACTGTTTTTTACGAAATTAGCAGGACGAAAAGAGAATGTCCGGCCCTTTAACCGGGTCGGAGGACACGGAAACTTTACCTAGGGGAGTTGGAAAACCCTGATTCCAAACCAATGCTACACATGGCCTCCATCCAGAACCCTGTGGAAACAAATGGCGTATGAATCAATCGTTGGTGACCGGCTACCATGGGACTACATCTCCTTACGATGCTCCACTGCCTTATGGGCCAGACTTTTAGGTCAAAGGCTCCGGGTGTGTCCCCCTAAGAAAACCACCTGCTTCAATTCGGACACTCAGGCAGTATCACAGCCCTCACACAAATCAAATGGGATTTGTGTGTCGCATATATATCTGGTGCCCCTTTGTACTAATATTTATGTTTAAATAAACAAAATAAATAAATTTATATCTTGGATATTAGCATTTCAGCTACAAACACCTAACATTCATTCTTCATTCTGACCGAAACAATGAGACGAAAATTGACTTTTTAACGAGCTAGAGTACGATTATTGAAGCAGCTGGGATGAATGAAACTCAGTATTTTACAATAAAATCAAGGATAACATTAAATTTGGGAAGTGCATGTATCACATCTAATCCCAACAATATGTAAGCCACCAACAACAGTAAGCTATTTAGGTTACGCATTGGGCCAAAGTACAGCTTTCTTTTTTGAACAATGAAATTGTATAGTAGCTCTGTTGTTGACAGGTTTGTGTCTAAGGTTTTTCAAACCTAAGAGAAACATTTTGTATAGATAACACTGTGATGCTGGAAGATTGAAATACGACGAACGTGTGATGACAACTCAGAAAGCTTGTGGTAAGGACTTACACTTAGTACAAATTCAATGAAACCAGCGCGAGAAGGTGGCAGCGCTGAATGACCTTGAAGTGAATGTAGCGCCTAAATGATCCAAATGGATCTAGACGGATTAGAAGAAGCTTGACTTAACGGGCTACCGTATATAGATGCAGTGAATCGCCGATGTTTACAGGCCTAAATATTGGTATATTTAACTATAAAGAAGAAAAAATTTTGGTAAATTGTTGCGAGATACTGGCCTTAGTCCTTAAGTATATGTCAAGTTTTCGCCTAAAGAACTCCTGAAAATGGCTTGAACTGACTTAGTCGATAGTGAATTTCAGCATTTGATTACTCTCATGGAGTATAAGGTGTGCCTGAACTTCACTCTGCTATGTTGTGTCTTCAATTTCCAGGTATTACCCCTAAGGAACTGAGGTCAAGTAGATATTTAGGGGAATGCCCAGAAGTGTTTATGATGCTGTGAGACATTAATTCACTTAAGGGACGTATTTTTTTTCTAGTAGGTTGAGGTCAAGTGATTTGAGGCGCCCTCCAAAAGGTTTGAATATGGGTAACCGAACTGATTTCGTGTCTTGCCGTTGGATACTTTCCAGTGAACTATATTTCCATACTCTGAATGAGGTTAAGTAAAACTATTAAACATTAAGTGAAAAGTTCTACTATCAAACTGGCCAAAGATGTTTTTCGAAGTCAGCAGTGCAAAATTTTCTAGAAAGGCATTTTTCTAGCATTTGGCGTATGACTTCAGACCATAGGGTACCAATTTTTCCGGATCTCAATCA